TAAATCTAGACTAATGCATTTAAATGAATTTTTAATTTATGTTTTTGGGCATACAATGGATAAAGACGCAGTTCTGTGACATCAGCAAATGAAAGGGGTGGGGACAGAGCTGTAAAGGAGCAGTTTTATAAAAACTTATTGAAGTTAAGCTGATATAAATTCAAATTAGTGTGTTAGCTTTACCATGTTATCCCCATGATAACCACAAAGAAAAGGGCTATAGAGTATAGAAAATGAGAAAGGAATTTAAATATTTCACTACAAAAAAATCAGCAAAACACAAAAGAAGACAGGAATGCAGGAAATGAGGGACAAAATGGCTACAGGGCATATAGAAAGCAAACAGCACAATGACTGAAATATGTCCCTTCTTATCTGTAATTACCTTAAACATAAATGAATTAAACTCTCCGATCAAAAGACAGAGATTGGCAGAATGAATAAAAACACATGACCCAACTATATGCCATCTACGAGAGACTCCCTTGAGATCCAAAGACACAAAGAAGATGAAAGGGAAAGGATGGAAAAAGACATTCCATGTAAATAGTAACCAAAAGAGAGCAGGGGTGACTATACTAATATCTGACAAAATAGACTTTAAATCAGAAAAGGTTACAAGAGACAAAGTACATTATATATTAATAAAAGGTTCAATACAGCAAGATGATATAACAACTATAAACATTTACACACCTAGTGACAGACCATCAAAATACATGAAGCAAAAACTGACAGAGTTGAAGAGAGAAACAGCTCCACAAAGATAAAGACACCAATACCCACTCACAATAATGGACAGAACAAACAGAAAAAAAAATGGAGGACTTAAAATAAGCTAGATCTAACAGACATATATGATACAGAGACCCCACCCAACAGCAACAGTATACACATTCTTCTTAGGTGCGTATGGGGCATTTTCTAGAACAGACCATATATTAGGCCACAGATTAAGTGTCAATAGATTTGAAAAGATAAATATCATACAAAGTATTCTCTCTGGCCACAAGAGGATAAACCTGGAAATCAATAACAAAAGTAAAACTGAAAAGTTCACAAAATTATGGAAGTTAAATAATACACTTTTAAACAACCAATAGCTCAAAGAAGAAATCACAAGGAAAGTTAGAAAATACCTAGATACAAATGAAAAGAAAAACACAGCACACCAAATCTTATGTGACATAGAGAAAGCAGTGCTAAGGGGGCAATTTATAGCTATAAATGCTTACACTAAAAAACAAGGAAGAGAGAATCAACAAACTAACTTTATAACTTAAGGAACTAGAAAAAAGAAGAACAAAATAAACCCAAAGCTAGCAGAAAGAAGGAAATGATTAGGACTAGAGCAGAGAAAAATGAAATAAAGAATAGAAAAACAACAGAGAAAATCAATGAAACCAAAAGTTGTTTCTTCAAAAAGATCAATGAAATCGACAAACCTTTACCTTGATGGATTAAGAAAAAAAGAGAGAAGACTCAAATTACTAAAATCAGAAATGAAAGTGGGGACATTATTACAGATTCCACAAAAATAAAAAGGATTATAAAAGAGTTCTATGAACAATTGTATGCTAAAAATTGGATAACCTAGATGAAATGGACACACTCCTAGAAACACAAAACCCACCAAGACTAAATCACAAAGAAACAGAAAATATGAATAGATTTTATACCTAGTAAGCAGACTGAATCAGCAATCAAGAATCTCCAAACCGGGGGAAAAAAAAAAAGCCCTGGACTTGATGGCTTCACTGTGAATTCTACCAAACAGTTAAAGAACTAATACCAATCATTCTCAAACTTTTCCAAAAAACCGAAGAGGAGAGAATACTTCTTAACTCATTCTATGAGGCCAGCATAACCTTATGCTAAAGCCAGACAAAGACACTACAAGAAAAGAAAACTACAGCACAGGGGACTATATTCAATACACTGGGATAAGCCATAATGGAAAAATATATTAAAAAGAATGTTTATATGTGTATAACTGAGTCACTTTGCTGTACAGCAGAAATTAACACAACATTGTAAATCAACTCTACTTCAATTAAAAAAATAACTACAGACCAATATCCCTTATGAACAGTGATGCAAAAATCCTCAAAAAAATACTAGCAAATAGAATTCAGCACCATATTAAAAGGATTATACACATGACTGAGATTTATTCTTAGAATGCAAGGATGGCTCAACATATGACAATTATCAATGTAATAGGTCATATCATCAAATGAAGGAAAAAACACAAAATCTTTTCAACTGATGCAGAAAAAGCATTTGTCAAAATTCAACACTTTCACGATAAAACCATTCAACACAATGGGAAGAGAAGGAAACTACCTCTACATGATAAAAGCCATATTTAAAAACCCACAGCAAACACCACATTTGATGGTGAAAGACTGAAAGCTCTTCCTCTAAGATCAGAATGCCCGGCTTTACCACTTCTATTCAACATAGTACTGGAAGTTCTAGCCAGAGCACTTAGGCAAGAAAAATAAATAAAAAGTATCCAAATTGGAAAGGACCAAGTAAAATTATCTGTTTGCAGATGATGTTTATCTTGTATGTAGAAAACCCTAAAGGCTCCACGAAAAAGCTGTTAGAATAAACGAATTCAGCAAAGTAGCAGGATAGAAAGTCAACACACAAAATCCAATTGCATTTCTATATATGAGCAATCTGAAAAGGAAACTACAAAAACAGTTCCATTTAAAATAGCATCAGAAAGGACAAAATACTTAGGAAGTAACTTAACCGAGGAGGTAAAACACTTATACAATGAAAACTGAAAGACACTGCTGAAAGAAATTAAATAACACATAAATCAACGAAAACACATTGCATGTTCATGGGCCAGAAGACTTAATATTGCTAAAATGTCAATACTACCCAAAGAGACCTACAGATTCAATGCAATCTCTATAAAAATCCCAGTGACTTTTTTTTTGCAAAAACAGAAAAAACCCATCCTAAAATTCATATGGAATCTCAAAAGACCCCCAATAACCAAAACAATCTTGAAAAAAGAGGAACGAAACTGGAGCAAGCACACTTCCTGATTTCAAAACTTACTACAAAGCTACAGTAATCAAAAGTGTGGTATTGGCATAAAAACAGACATACAGACCAATGGAACAGAATAGAAAGCCCAGAAATAAACCCTCACATATATGGTAACATTATTTTTGACAAGGGTACCAAGACCATTCAATGGGGGAAGGACAGTCTTTTGAAAAAATGGTGCTGGGAAAACTGGATATCCACATGCAAAAAAATGAAGTTGAACCCTTACTTAACACTACATACAAAAATTAACTCAAAATGAATCAAGGACCTTTAGGTCTTTAAATTTATTTAAGACCTAAGCAAATAAAACTCTTGGAAGAAAGCATATGATAAAAACTTCATGACATTGGATTTCATAATGATTTCCTGGATTTGACACCAAAGGCGCAGGTGACAAAAGAAAACATCAACAAATTGGACTTTATGAAAAATTTTTTTAAATTTATGCATAAAAGATACTATCCACAGAGTAAAAAGGCAACCCACAGAATGAGAGAAAGCACTGGCAAATCATATATCTGATAAGGAATTAATATCCAGAATGTACAGAGAACTCCTAAAACTCATCAACAATAAAAACAACTGGATTAGAAAAGCACAAAGCACTTGAATATACATTTCTCCAAAGAAGACGTAGGAATAACCAATAAGCACAGGAAAAGATGCTGAATCATTAGGGAAATGCAAATCAAAACTATGAGATATAACCTCACACTCATTAGTACGGTTACTACAAAAAACTAGCAAACAGGTATAGGCAAGGATGTAGAGAAATTGAAGCCCTTGTAAAATGGTACAGCTGCTGTGGAAGAGTGTGGTGTTTCCTCAAAAAATTAAAAACAGAATTACATTATGATCCAGGAATTCCACTTGTGGGTGTATAGCCAAAAAATTTAAAAGCAGGATTTCGAAGATATCTGCAACCCATGTTCAAAGCAGCATTATTCACAACAGCTGAAATGTGGAAGCAACCCAAGTGTCCACTGACAGATGTATGGATAAGCAAAAGGTGGTCTATACGTACAAGGGAATATTATTTAGCCTTAAAAAGAATTTCCGACACATGCTACAACATGGATAAACCTTGGGGTTTCCCAAGGTTTCCCTTATGCTAAGGGAAATAAGCCAGCCACAAAAAGGCAAACTGTGATTCCACGTAATGAGGTACTTAGAGTTGCCAAAACCGTAAAGACAAAGTAGAATGGTGGTTTTCAGGGACGGTGGGAGGGAGTTGTTTAACGGGTATAGAGTTTCAGTTTCACAAGATGAAGAGTCGTGGGGACGGATGGTGGTGATGGATGCACAAGGTGAATATATTTAATACCACTGAATGTGAACTTACAAATGGTTAAGATGGCAATTACGTTATGTGTATTTTACTATGATACAAAAAAGAAAAAAATCAATTTTGAACAATTCCAAATATTTGGAATGTTTAGCCTCCCATGATAAATTACTTAACATTATATGAAGGTTTTTTTTTTTTTTTTTGCGGTACGTGGGCCTCTCACCGTTGTGGCCTCTCCCGTTGCAGAGCACAGGCTCTGGACGCGCAGGCTCAGTGGCCATGGCTCACAGGCCCAGCCGCTCCGCGGCATGTGGGATCTTCCCGGACCGGGGCATGAACCCGTGTCCCCTGCATCGGCAGGCGGACTCTCAACCACTGCGCCACCAGGGAAGACCTGTATGAAGTATTTTCTAAACTGAAGTATACAGTCGTTGATTTACAATATCGTGTTAGCTCCAGGTATACAGCACAGCGATTCAGTTATATATACGTATATGTACACTCTCTTCAGATTCTCTTCCCTTACAAGTCATTACAAAATATCGAGTAGAGCTCCCTGTGCTACACAGGTCCTTGTTGATTATCTATTTAATATATAGTATAGTAATAAATAATCCCAAACTCCTAATTTATCCCTCTCTCCCCCTTTCCCCCTGGTAACCATGTTTGTTTTCTATGTCTGTGGATTGATTTGTTTTGGAAATAAGTTCATTTGTATTTTTTTTGTTCCACATAGAAGCGATATCACATAACATTTATCTGAAGTACTGGCGTATGATGTGCTCACTTCACAATCCCTCTGAGAGTTTCATGGTTAGCTCAAGTCCATCACAGAAGGAAGGTGGATGTGCACGGGGTTGGGGGCACTGAGGCCTCAACGTTTGGGCACAGAGTAAACACAGCGGGTCTTGCTCCAAGGTCACAGCTGGTACATGTTTTTGCTGCACCTGCAGATATGGACCTGCAAGCATTTCTCAGGAATCTCGCTGGCAACAAGCTTATGATAAGGTATGATGCCACTGTTTGAAGTAAATGTCCCATCCTGCTTCCAGTGATGAGTTTTTAACCATAAAGCAAAATACTCCCCACAAATTGAAAATGTTAAAGACGTCACACTAAACCATATCATTTCCCTTCACTTGGTTTTGAAATTCAACTTCCTCTTTATTTCGAAATGGCTTATCTAAACCAGTCTTCCTTTGCAGAGGTGACCTAGGAAATGGAGCAATGAGCTCTGTGGCTTCAGTGACGACCTTACTCCTCCGTGCTGCCCGGCATGAACAGGGCGGGAGCAGGTGACATGATGCAGCCCGGTCCTCTCCTTTCCACAGCAGAGGCAACGGTGACATGGGACCACAAGGTGGCCCCGAGGACGGAGACTTGGGTTCAGACTTATTGCTAAACGCCCACCTTGTTTCCCACCTATTTACCTACTACCAGCCCTGCCTGCTTCTCAGGATGCTGTGAGGACCCATGGGGTCCTTGCTAACAAAGCCGTTAAGTGATCTGGGGCCAGCCTGCCTCTCAGACCTTAATCCTGCACCCTTCTGCATTGTGCCCACTGCCTTCTAGCCACACCGACTGCAGGTAGAATTCGTTTCTGCCTCAGGGCCTTTGCACAAGCTGCCTTTTCTGCCTCGAAAGCCTTTCGAGTTCTGTGTCTGGCCCCTTCTTGTTATTCAGACCTCAGCCTAATTCAGTGAGATTCACTGAAATCAGTGAGAGCCTCTCAGAGCACCCAGTCATGCTGGTGAGCCCCCGTGAGCCCCCCGTTCTAAGTCTCTTCAAGGCACTTCTCCCACCTGAGCAGGGTCAGTGGCCATCTCATTCTGGCTTGGAGTCCCAGTGTGGCGGACCGTGCCCGGCATACTGTATGCTCACTGCACATTTATTTAATGAATGGCTGAAGAGGGTGAAAACGCTCTGGAGAAAACAAAGCACTGCGTGAGATATAAAACGTTTTTCTTAACGAATAAAACCTTCCTTGCTTTCACTTAGTGATTTCTCTTGGAAATGACAGCAATATCACACTGATTACTCCAAGAGCCAACATCATGTAGATGAAAACCTGCCTTTGCATCAAGCAAGAAAGACTGGAAGGCAGTTGCTCTGTATCACGTTCCAAGGGAAGACGATTCACGTGTGTACCTCCCTCCTCGGGTGTCACCGAGACACTGTCCACTCACCGAGGTTAATTTCATCTATTCCCCTTGAGAAAGTGAAGAGCCTAAAAAGGAACAGCTGCCGCTGAGGTGGCGGCGTAGGAGAGCTGCTGCTGCTCTGCCCCCGGGGCCCTGGTCAAAGCCAGCACATGGCCTGCAGGCTGGCCCGGGAGACTGCCCGACGCTGCAGTTCGCCGCGGGGAGGATGCACCTCACTAGACTACACGCTGGGAACTGCCCACGGGCTCCTTCTGCCACGAAACCGAGACCTAGTTACTAGCTTATTGGTTGTGATGCTCAGTTAGGCACGACAGAAGTTGGCTTTAAGTGCGAGAGCAGAGGCTCCAGAAGCTGAGTTTACACGAGTCAGTGACATACTATACAGGGCGGCCACACGGTTTAATCTATTTACACTCTTCCTGCCAGGAGGGTTGAGGGAGTGCTCCTGCCGCTGTCAGGTCGGGGCCCACCAGTCCCCTCATCACAGGCAGCGAGGCCTTTCTATGCACCCCCTCGGCCTCACTTTCCTCAGTTCAAACACCACCACGAAGGGCGCTTCCGTGTCCCTGCCCAGCCGCGGGGTCGGCAGAGCGATGACCCCACCTGCTGATCCTGGCTGGAGCAGCCAGGGAGGGATCTGCCCCGAGCGGATCTCAATGCCCCAGTGACCCATGGCACTGCCGGGAAAAGTTCCCATCCTCGGGCACCAGCTGACACGTGGGGTTTCCAAATACGCTCTCCAACGTTCCATGTCCTCACTCTTGGTTAGTTGCTTCCGGTTTTAAATCAGCTGTACGGCTCCAGAAGCGACCAGGGGTGCGATGGTTTTGTATCGGATCAAGTGCTGTGAGCCCTCCTCCAGGTCGATCACATAGTCCCTGGAAGAGAGAACAATGTACCCGCGGAGCTCAGCTGCAGCCCCATGGGGAGGAGTGCTTCCCACCATCCACAACGCAAACGCCACTCACCTCTGCTCATCTGTTTCCGGTTCTACCAGTATGTTTTCCTGTCGCTCTTTCACCCTCAGAAACACATATGAATCCAGATCTGGTTTGGGAACTGCCAGGAGGACGATAGTGTGATCAGAAAATGCTCAGCTAACAAGATCGGGATGGAGAAGCTGCTAGGATTAACTGCCTCAGGCACAAAGGGACCCCTGATGTAAAAGCATCTTGGGGGCAGGGATGAGAGGAGAGATCTGGCTCCTTCTAGAAACAGCATACTTCCCTCAAGGTTTCACACGGCACGCGCTCATTTGACAAGTGATGAGGACGTAAGATCTGCAGGGCACCTGGGAGGAAGAGCGAGGGCCATGGGAGAAACATGCGTGACGTCTTAGGAGGACAGAGTGTGTGAATCGGGCCAGAAAGTATGTCTGTATAAAGGGTGGGAGGATTGGATGTTAGGGAGACTGGGTCACACGGTGATGGCCTTGAGTGTCAGGGAGATGAATACGGGCTGCGCGCTGTAAGCATCCCTCCCTCTCTACCACCAGCCAGCACTTCACCACGAAGTGCCCCGCGCTGGCAGCTCTCCAGCCCTTCCCTGCCTGCGGCTCCGTTTGTGCCAAGAGGACCCCATCACCTGCGGGGTCCGGAGGACCCACCGGACAACTCAGTGTTCAGAGCCCAGCTCAGGTGTGGGGCTGCCCTCGGTTCCCTGTCTACGGGAGGGGGGTCAGGATAACTGACCGCAAAGGTCTGGGAAGGGTCCCCTGGGCTGCTCGGGGGTTCTGGGCCTGCCAGAGACACCAACTTCAGCAGGGTCAGCTGGGCCCACTGGACAGCTGCTGATCTGAGGAAACCCTCGAAGGACGTTCGGCTACAACGCCCTTCCACGACTCTGCCACTGTGGTCTCCGTGCTCCAGGGGGCGTCTGGGCTACGTGAGCAAGGCTCTCATCTCACGAGGGAAGGCTGGTTCCCGAACAGCTCCAGCCCTAGGCGCCCAGCTCTGGTCCTTGGAAGGGACCCAGGACAAGCGACACATGAGCGTCAGGAGGTGTTGGCCAGCATCAAGTAGAAGCAGCTCTGGGGCAACGGCCTGGACCCGGCTCAACTGGATACGACAGGTGGTGCTGGGCAGTGATTAGGGACGTGGTCCTTGCCCCACTCGTAAGTGCAGACGAAAGCGGCCGAACTGGACACGGACTGGGCCTCCCGTGTCCCTCAGGCAGGTTCACCAAAACGACCAGTTCAGAGTTCCACAAGCCCAGCACGCGGTGGGCTTGCTCCTGGTGTCCCCTCCACGATGACACACTGAAGCCCTGAACCCCAGTACGTCAGGACAGGAATGGATTTGGAGACCAGGCCTCTAAAGAGGCAAAATAAAGCTGTCATGGTGGGGTCCTGATGCAACCTGATGAGGAGAGGGACAGACAGCAGGGTGCGTGTGCAGGGGGCGGCCGCCTGCAAGCCAAGGAGAGAGACTCAGGGAAACCAACACTGTCAGCACCCTGACCATGGACTCTGGCCTCCACATCTGTGAGAAGATCCACGCCGACTGGTCAGGCGCCCCCGTCCTGTCAGTGGTACTTAGCTGTGGCAGCCGGGGCTAAGTCCCCCACGAGCAGCAGGGCTCAGGGCGCGGCCCCCAGGCTGGGTCGGCGAGGGACGCTCAGGGCTTGGCTGTCGTGAACTCAGCTTGGGAACCTGTGGACTCCAGGCCCCCGTGAGGTCCTGCGTGGACACGGCGAGCTGGGAAAGGCCGGGGAGGAGGACTGGAGGCCACACGCCAGGGGCCCTGCTGGCTGATCCAAGGTTAGGGGTTACCACCAGGGCCCCCTCTTGGCTCGGCAGACTTTCAGGGGACCGAGCAAGGGGGTGAGAGGCAGAGGAGATGGCCGTGCTTCCCTCCCTGGCGCCTCCCTGCAGTCTGTCCTGCTCCCCTTCCCACAGCCGGGAGGCTGTTCACAACCGAAGATCAGGAGCCCTGAGGGACCCCCGTAGGCGTCCCAGCCTCCCAGCTAACGTCCCCCCCGAGGAGACAGGCCCTGCATGGCCTGGAACCTGTGAGGGGGACGCTGCTGCCCCCAGAGACCACAGACCCCGGCATCTTCCTCGCCCAGAGGAGCCGAGCACAGCATGGACCCTCGGGAGGTGACTGCGTACGCGGGTGAGTCTGCACTTACAGGGGCAGCTACGAGAATTTCCTCTGAACCGGAAGAACACAAAAGTGATGCTGAAATCGCTACCCCGGCGCCTGCTTTTCACGATTTTTGGTTTTTGACCCAGAACCCGTCCCCTCTGTCTCTTTTCTGCTGATCTATCTGTGCACCTATTTGCCCACGTTCGAGAGAAGAGAGTGGAGATGAAGATGTTATTCTAAGGCACCTGGAGATACGTGGGGTGTAAACTACGGCCCCTCGGGATGTCCGAAAGGAGAATGTTCTGCTCACCTGCCCTCAAGAGGTCCACCTTCTGTAAGTTAGGAGGCATGTGCTTTAAGGCAACGTTCTTTAGGTAGGTCTCTGTGTTAGCCATGTACCTGAAACACACAAACCCACATCGCAGTGACGACACGCCCCGGAGCCACCAGGGCTATAAGACCAACAGCAGTGGCCCTGCGACTGGCCTCAGGGACACAACCACCAAACACACTGGCAAGCCAGGGAAATAAAGGCGGGTCCCACTCTCGCTGCTTACTCACTCTCTGGCAAAGGCAAACTCTTCCGGAGAAAGGCAGGAAGGCTCCCCCTCACGGCGTGTTTTCTCCTTTTCGAGGACGTGAGGGAAAAACTTCTCTATCTGTGGGGACAGGAAACACCTGTCAACGCTTTTTGCCATCAGCAAGTTTGATCAAGTGTGTCATCGAAGGTCTGGTCTGACTCCAGTGGCACACATGCTAGTTTTCTGAAACAGGTCGAGGTTAATCTAGAAAGTGGCCCTTAAAATGACACGTTTTCATGGTTGAGGCTCTTTCTAATCATAAGACTTACACACTGGACTTCACGAAGGCAGGTTTCAGAGAATTTGGAGCAAAGGCCAGGGCTCAAAAAAGGAAGACAGTTTAAAAAGGATGAGAGGCCTTCATGAAAGAAACTATGGTGAGACAACTGGAAATGGAAGTTAAGAGAAAGGAAGGGGCTGTTACCCAGCACTTCTATGTCATTGTACAGACACAACTGTACAACCTGTGAAGTGAAACAGATACAGAGGCTGGAGAGACACACACAGAACATTTAAGCAGACAGAGAGTGATGCTCGATTATAAGACTATAACCAGGGACTTCCCTGGTGGTGCAGTGGTTAAGAATCCGCCTGCCAATGCAGGGGACACGGGTTTGAGCCCTGGTCCAGGAAGATCTCACATGCCATGGAGCAACTAAGCCTGTGCACCACAACTACTGAGCCTGCGCTCTAGGGCCCGCGAGCCACAACTACTGAGCCCATGCACCACAACTACTGAGACTGTGAGCCACAACTACTGGGCCCACGTGCCACAACTACTGAGCCCACGCACCTAGAGCCTGTGCTCCACACCACAACTACTGAGCCCACGCGCCTAGAGCCTGTGCCACTGCAACGAGAAGCCTGTGCACTGCAATGAAGAGTAGCTCCCACTCGCTGCAACTAGAGAAAGCCCGTGCGCAGCAACGAAGACCCAACACAGCCAAAAATAAATAAATAAACTTATAAATTAACAACAATAACAAAAGAAACAATATAACCAGCAAGGATAAAACCCACAATGAGGTGAGGCTTGGGAAGCGTGCTAAGAACTACCAGAAAACAACAACAAAGCTAAAAGCTACAGAAAGGTGTGTGGTCAGGAACCAGGAAAGGCAGTCTCGTTTGGAGTCAAAGCTCTCACGATCACCTCCGCCAGGGAAACACTCTCTGCGAGCAGGACCACGATGATGGCAAGGAGGAGCTGAAGGCCCAGAGAAGGCAGCACTTATCCTTAAAGCGGTGAGGTCTCCCGGCTCGGACGGACTGTGTTCCAGGATGAACTAAATTCTCGTCTGTACGGAGTTTGAGTGTGTGAGGCACCTTCTCCTGTCCTATGTGGATCACCGCTGCTACTGTATCACTTCGTGCACTAAAAATACATGCCATTTCAGAATCTCAGAGTCACTGAGTTCAGAAGAGGTGGGAAAGATTAGAGGCACACACATTTCCTGATTTTCAAAAATACAAAGGAGGAGACTCTTCCAACACACATCAGCGTCCTTCATGTTGTACGTGGCCTTACAGACAGACGGTCTGTGAACTCAAAGGAAAGTAGCGGTGCGCGTGAAGAGCATTCACCTCACCACACGCCTCAAAAAACTGAGCGGCCTGGCAGCTGAGGGTGGGGAGAGGCGTAGCACGTCTCAAGTTTTTCAAAATGCGTGATGATGTCTTTAACGTCCTTGTGGACAAGCTGTAGCAGGGGTGCTGGCTGACAGCACAGACTAGGAGACGCATAAATGAGTGAAAGAAGAACACGGATTCAACTGACAGACGCCGATCGGCGGGGAAGGCTCTGGCGGGACATCGATCACTGGCCCAGTCCTACTAAAGAACCAGATAAGATCTCTGATGACACACTCATAAAACTTGCTGAAATAACTAATAGGCTAGGTGACAAGACTGGGATCCAGAGACCAGGGAAATGGCCCAAAAAAAGAAGCTGAAGAGGGACAAGTACTGAGCCCTACACTGAAGGGTCAAAAATCAAGCCATGGAAATACAGGAGAGTGACGGGATGGCGTAATAATAATAACAACAGCTTAAAAACTTCCAAAGAGGTTGGTGCTCATGGCGAGTGCGGAATGAACCCAGGGTGACGTGTCCGTCAGACGCTACATGACACTGGGTGGTGTTACTACCAGTCTGATACCCAACAAGGGAAGTGATCATCCTGCTTTTCACAAAAGTGACCAAACTACAACGGGAACTCTGTTCCACTGTAGGTGGGATAATTTAAGGAGGATACTGATAAACCTTTTAGGGGAAGAGACCAGGAGAGTAAATGGAAATAAACAGCTGAAATGTTTAGCTGAGAGGACTCTCAAGAGCCTTCTGAGCTGTCTTCAGTATCTGAAGCGCGTCCACATGGTAGAGGGTACGGCTGGCCCTTGAACAACTCGGGGCTTGAGTGTGCCAGCAGCCCTCCCCTCCCCCCGCCTTACAGTCGGCCCTCCGTATCCCTGGTTCTGCACCTGGATTCAACCAACCTCGGATCACTTTACAGCAAATATTGAAAAAATTCTATGTATCAATGGACCCACGCAGTTCACACCCATGGTGTTCAAGAATCAAGCATATTTGCTTTGTAATAACTAAGAGGGCAAGTGGAACCAAATGAGAAGAGACTTCAAGGAGGTAAGAACTTCCAGGGTTAAAACAGACGTCATTGAAAATAAGCATGTTTTGCCGTTTCATTTTTATAAGTTAGACGGCCATAGAGATATAGCTGAATGTCACTAGCATGGTCCATTTGACATTGACTTGACGACAGATGCAAAACAGTTCTTAAAACCAGGTCCCCTCTGGTCAGTATTCCCTGTTCATCCACTGCCAATACCTCCACGCTCAGCACCGCCCAACGGTCACTCCGGGGGGTGCCGTTCGCACAGCAGACAAACTAACAGTGTCCCTGGAGGTGGGAGACAACCGTGCCGTCGATGCTTCTCCAGAACAGTCCCGCCCTCCTGACTCTGGCTCCCCTGACGTGGGGCCTCAGCAGCACCTGCAGGCCCTGGACCCTCCCAGCTCCTCCTAGGACCCTCAGTCTGCACGACAGCTGCCCCCTGCCCCCCGACCTTCATGAGCCGACACCGCAGGTAGCTGCTCAGGACGAAGCGGATCCTCTCCATCTCCATCTGATGGATGCTGACCTTCAGGTCCCCCTTCTTGGCCCTCCTGAGATTTTCTTCCTGTTAACAGAGAAAAAGAAGTTTGTAAAAAACATGAGAGTCAAAGACTAAGGACCTTATTTCTTCAATCAGCGTGTGGCCCATCATTGTCGAAAACAGTAAGGACGCAGAGGCTACATTTAGGTCAGAGGAGAACAAAAAACTCATCGTTTAAGGGCTCTCATTTCCTTCTAATTTCTTAACTACACAAACAATACATGACCACAGTCTCACGACATAAAGTGCAGACAGCACTCGTTTACTTTTAGAAAATGACCACTTGAATAGAATCTGAATCTGGCTGGTCAGAAGGGCCCAAAAGAAGCCCAGCCCGAGTGTGAAGGACAGCAGCAGACAGAAGAAATGTCTAAAGGGTCTTAAAATAGTTAAAACGCCAGTTGAGAAACTGTAAAATACCAACGCTTCAAAGCCACCCTGAGGCTGACAGTGACTAAAGCCCGGCTCATCTAAGGCAAGGGCCACAGACTCACAGGCTTCGGGGCCAGGCAGCTAAGGTACCTGAGAAAGGTAGGCAGCCAGGAGCTGGGGGCCTGGGGAGCACAATGGAAGGGGCGGTCCCTACCCTGCTCTGGTCAGCTGTTCTCGCGTACAAATGCAGGAATGCTGAGGACAGGTTTTTAGAAGCTGACGTCCAGATGTTCATAGGAGCTCCCAGGCTTTGTAAATGTAGGTAATTAATTCAACATTAAAAAAGAAAAAAAAAACCCAAACTAGGATGGGCCCAACGAAACAGATTTGCTATCAGCTTACGGCCTCTCACTATGCCGACACACTTTCTAAGCTGCCCTCCTCTGAACGCTGAGGGAGGCATCTCTTACCATGTGCTGCAGCTGCTCCATGACACATTCAACGATTTCCGACTTGTTTTCCAGCAGCTCAGGGGCAAACTTTTCATTCATCCAGGCCTAAAAAAACAATGCCCGAAAAACACACAAAGGGGCATTACTCACAATGGAGCAAAATAACCCTGTGAGTCAGTACTCACCCCTAAAATCACAGCCGCCTCAGCGAAGAAACTGTCTACCGGTTGGAAATACTGGAAATGCTTTGAAGACAAGCTATGTTTAATGATGGCTTTTTTATTTCCTTTAGTGGAAAGGCTGTGTTGTCAGTACACCTATGGCTGAGAGTAACCCTACCTGGTGTCCACTCGGTACCTGTCACCGGGCACCAGTGTCTGTATCTGCTATTGCCCACCAGGGGGCACCAGCGCCCTCCCATTCCGCTCAGAGCACTTTATAATTTTTTCATTCATCACTATCATAACTGAGATGAAATGGATACAGTTATCCTTACCTTCTTGATGAGAAAACACAGATTACGTTATTTACTAACTTCCCAAGAGTACAAAGGATCACAAAGGAAATGGAGATTTATCTGTTAAGCAGTTTTCGGAATAAGACGTTAAATCCCTAATTTATGACTTAGGCCCAGACGCTTGGTATGTTTCAGCAATTACCAAGGCTTAGGGAACTGAAGTATCCACTGGTGACTGAGGAAGCTGTACTTATCTTTCAATCACAGGAAATTGAGTTCTAGCATAGCTCAGAGTTACAGGCCAAGCACGCTCCAGTTATTCATTTTGACACACTTAAGCGTCTGCTTCTCCAATTATCACCATTCAGACGCATTATTAAATACCGGTATTGCTACTATCATAAAATTTTTTTTCAGGTGCTCAAGCTTCTGCAATAGTGTTGCAGATATATAAAATTAACCAGAAAGACAATCTGTCTTTTCAAGTAGCATAATGAATGAGAAAAGATCAAACTGTCATAGAGAACTTATAAAGCAGGAGATTTTCTTTTTCTTTGATACATTTATTTATTTTATTTTATTTATTTTTGGCTGCATTGGGTCTTCGTTGCTGCGCAGGGGCTTTCTCTAGTTGCGGCAAGCGGGGTGGGGGGCTACTCTTTGTTGCAGTGCGCGGGCTTCTCATTGCGGTGGCTTCTCTTGTTGCGGAGCACGGGTTCTAGGTGCGCGGGCTTCAGTAGTTGTGGCTCACGGGCTCTAGAGCGCAGGCTCAGTAGTTGTGGCACACGGGCTTAGTTGCTCTGCAGCATGTGGGATCTTAGTTCCCAGACCAGGGCTCAAACCCATGTCCCCTGCATTGGCAGGCGGATTCTTAACCACTGTGCCACCAGGGAGGCCCAGGTTTTCTTTTTACCTGACTTTATTAAATGCTAAATAGGTACAAAAATATTTATGAAATACATAACAACATGAAGAATGCTGATAAACACCTATGTGCACACAGCTTCATTAAAGAATATCATCATCATTTTACAAGTCCCCTTGTGTCCCCTCCCTCCTCAGAGGTGATCATTAGCCTGAATTTAGTGATTAATTTTCTGTAGTTTCATTACTTCTGTTTTTATCTCTACATGGTGCTTACCAACCTTTCCATGACAGGGCACTCAAAGAAATGATAGCACTTGTATGGTATACTGGGTAAAATGGAGTAGATTTGGGGGAGATTTCTCATTTACAGTATGAAATCATGGTAATAAAACATATAACAGTAGGGCAAAGTTTATATTAGTACAAAATGCTCAAATAAAATCTTTTCAAAATTTTTAGTGAGAAACTTGTATTTAAGTTCACAGTCTTTTTAAAAATAATGAAGTTCTCTGTTTGAAATGACTGCATCAAAAAAATTTTAACAACAACCTGTTTATCACTGTTACGGGTGAAACTGTGCCGCCTCCACCTGCCGATTTGTATGTTAGAGCCCTAACTCCTAGCACCTCAGAATGTGACTGGATTTGGAGATGCAGTCTTTTAACGAGGTAGTTAGGTTGAAAGGCGGTCATTAGGTGGGCCTTAATCCAATACGGCTGGTGTCCTTGTAGGAGAAGAAGAGGACACAGACACGGAGTTTCCCAAGGCTCAGTCCCTGGCACCTTCTTTTCTTTATGTACATTCACTCTCTATGGGAAATTATCTACAGAGAGGACAGAGCACATGAGGACACAGAAGACGGCCGTCTCCAAGTCCAGGAGACAGGCCTCAGAGGAGACCGTGTCAGCACCTTGATCTCGTCTCAGACAGAAGAGCCTTCAGAACTGAGAAGATAAATCTCTGTCAGCAAAGCCACCCAGTCTGTGGCACTTTGTTAGGCAGCCTTAGCAAACTAATATGACCATTAAAATGAGAAACTTTGCATTTTAGGTACCAAGTTTTAAATCGTATTTTTACCAGCATTCAAAAGTATCCTACGTATGCTCCCAGAGCTGTGCTCATCAATGGCCTGTCAGGCCGGCCCCGAGGCCATGCTACACGGCAGCTGTCCAGGCGGTGGCTGCCCTCCGGGCAGGAGAGCATCAGGCCGCAGGCGTGACTCCTGCTCACCCCCTGCCAAGGCCGCCAGACCCCACCCTCCTTGGGTTCCCTCCCAGGGAGCCCTGAGGACACCCAGAAGATGCCAGCAGTCTGGGCCCGGCTGACCTGGAGGGCGAGGGTCAGCATCTGAGCCTCTGCAGAGCCTCAGCGTGTGCAGCACCACCAAGCTGGCAAGCTCGGCCCTGGGCGACAGCTTTGCAAGGGTCTGAACGGTACACAGACGGTTTCTTCAGCAACTTATCTTTTGTTCTTCTATGTGATGTTCCTGACAGCTGTCCATGCTGTGGCAGGAGCTTTTACTCATTTTACTGCTGTTTTTCTCCCTCGTTATGTGTATATGCCGTACTCTAGGTATGCACCCAGGAGTAGAATAATTCGGCCACAAGACACGTGTGCCTTCTTTAACCTGACCAGAAAATAACGTTAATATTTTAAAGTGACTGTACCAAGTTACACGCACACCGTGGTATACATGTGCTAAATTCTCTACATCGTTGCCAACACTTTATACTGTTCACCTTTTTCATTTCTACCACTCTGATGGGTATAAGTGATATCTCATTGGGTTTTAAATTTTCAGGGTGTCTGTGAATCTCCTGAAATTACATGCAAAGTTCTGCATGGGTGTATATGTGCATTATTCTGGGAGGGCCAGAGTTTTCACCAGATTCTTAAAAAGGTCTGAGACATAAGTTTTAAATTTTTAAATGACCTTCCTTGGGTTTTATCACTCACGATGGCATGTAATGGTAGGAAAGAATGAAGAATCCTAAAGTAACAAACATGAGAGAGCTCTGGAAAGGGGCGGTGAGAGGGAGAAGAGTAAGGCAGCAGGTGTAGTAAATCAAAGAGACCTGGTTCACATCCTGGCTCTGCTGTCCTTGTGTGGCCTTGGCAAGTTACTTTACACCTCTAACCTCTAAGCTTCAGTTTCCTCATCTGTAAAATGGAGATGACAAAAGTGCTTGCCTCAGGGCGTTGTTGTACTGATTATGACCACTTGCATCTAACATTCAGTGAGCGTTCAGCACACGTCAGACAACACTCTGAGCTCTTCACACATAATACCCCATTTCATCCTCACAAGAGCTCTGTGAGGCAGCCGCTATTATTACCTCCACTGACAGTCAAGGAAGTGCTAGAGACAAGCTATACAACCTGCCTAAGTTGTAAAACAGACGAGTGGGGACTTCCCTGGTGGCGCAGTGGTTAAGAATCCGCCTGCCAATGCAGGGGACACGGGTTCAAGCCCTGGTCCGGGAAGATCCCACATGCCATGGAGTAACTAAGCCCATGTGCCACAACTACCGAAGCCCACGTGCCACAGCTAATGAGCCTGCGCGCTGCAACTACTGAAGCCCGTGCGCCTAGAGCCTGTGCTCCGCAATAAGAGAAGCCACCGCAATGAGAAGCCCGCACACCACAACAAAGAGTAGCCCCCGCTCGCCGCAACTAGAGAAAGCCCACATGCAGCAATGAAGACCCACCGCAGCCAAAAAAAATTTTTTTAATTAAAAAATTAAAAAAACAAAAAACGAGTGACATGCAGGGATTTAAACACAGGTAGTCTGAACTCCAAAACTACCAAGGTCTCCTCAGACAACAATTGTGAAGAGCCCTGGCACACAGGAAATACTCAACAAGCCACAGCGATTATGACTAAAAGGAGAAACAACCCAGAAGTGGTTTGAGGTAAGCAGTGGAAACATACAGAACGGTGGACAAAAGGAAGTATTTGGAGGAAAAGGAAGAATAAGACCAGTTTTCTCGGGCTTCCCCGGTGGCGCAGTGGTTAAGAACCTGCCTGCCAATGCAGGGAATACGGGTTCAAGCCCTGGTCTGGGAGGATCCCACATGCCGCGGAGCAACTATGCCTGTGTACCACGACTACTGAGCCTGTGCTCTAGAGCCCGCATGCCACAACTACTGAAGCCCGCGCGCTTAGAGCCCGTGCTCCACAACAAGAGAAGCCACTGCAATGAGAAGCCCTCGTGCCGCAACTAGAGAAAGCCCGCATCGCGCAGCAACAAAGACCCAATGCAGCCCAAAATAAAAATAAATAAACTTAAAAAAATAAAAAAGACCAGTTTTCTCCTAAAGAAGGTGTTTCAGCACTTTCTAGACCTTACAAGTCTCTACCAAGCACTTCTGCGGTCCCCACAAATACCAAGCAGATCCTTTGCTCTGTGAGCTGTTCTCGTAAATGTCCCCAAAGCTGACCCTCTCTGGCCCCACTTGAGAATTTTGTGTCTGACATTATGAGGTTTCTATCCGGCTGTCCCCCTACTTCCTATTTCTGTGTAGATGGTAAGATGCGGTCTCTCTTCTCTTGAAATAAGCCTAGAGTTCCATCACATTTCCTGATTCCCGACATTTGCACAGCTGGACTAAATTAGAAGGCTGAGCTTGGAGCAGGGGGATTCTGTTTGGGCTGCTTACCTGTTCCAGCCTGTCAATGAGCTCTGCAGGGGTCAGGACCACCTCCTCACTCCCCGCATCAGAGTCCTGTCCCGGGAGATCCAGTTCCTCTGTCATCTTCTCTGAAACCAGGAACCTAATAAATAAAAGAACCCATACTATGCTGTGTGTTCCATTTCTTTTCAAGAATATGCAACTACGTACCTGGAAAAGGGAAAGGTTTACTGCGGTTGTAGAGGCTCACTGGCAGTAGCTAGGAAATTCATAGGTTTTGGTTTTGTAATTCTTCACCTCTTCGTTCAAATCTTAGGTCAGGGATCAATTTCTCAAAGCGATCACTCCTTACAAGGGCTTCCACGTGCACCCTGAATTGAGCACCTACCACACCCTGCAGTAATTATCTGTTTGCCTTCCAGAAGGAGGTCCTCTCCTCGGGGGCTGCGTTCACTTCAGCTCTAATATGAATCCTGGAACCTCTAAGGACTAGGGACACAGTGACCTGTGCAGCCCCTGGCTCAGCATGGCTCTTCACTAAGAGCAGGCAAATAAAATTGCTGGGAGAACCAATCCACGCCCGTTTCCTGGAGCCACAAGGCCCAGCAACATCTGTCCGGTCAGTGACCCAAAGGGCTTAGGAAGGCGGGTGGTGGGGACGAGGGCGCGTCCCCGGAGCCTCGGGGACACCGAGAACACATTCCTCCCGCTCGCCTCCCGGGGCCACGAGCACAGGGTCACCGCCTCCCCCGAGGCGCGCGCGCACTCCCAGCGGTCCCACTCGGACGCTCACCCGGGCCTGGGCAGGCTGCGAAGTCACCCCGGGCTGGCGGGTGGCGAGGGCCGGACCCTCGCGGGAAGCAGCCTGAGGAGCACCGGCCGCAGAACGGTCCGCGCGAGGCCTTTCCGGGACGCAGCTGACCCTCTACTTCTCAGCTCCCGCGCTCCTCTTGGACACTTCCCGTCCGGACTCAACGTCACTGCGCACGGACGGGGCTGACCAATCATGGCCAGACGGCCCCGCCCACCCTGGGGGCGGGAATTGCGTCCCCGTGGCTCGCTCTCAGGGCCACTTCCTGAGTGGAGGCGGGCCCGAGTTGGGCCCCGCCCACCTCGTCCCGGCTGGGGTGTGCGGTGCCGGATGACACCTCCCAAGGACCGTCGGCAGGAGGCGCCTGGTCACCGCGGCTGGGGGCTCCGGCGGCGTGGGCCTTCCCGCCACCGGTTGCAGCCGTCCGCGTGTGCTCTGGCCGATAGCCGGGCCGACAGAGAGGTGGGCTGTGTTAAATCGGGCCGCTTCCACCTCCTGGGTCGTCTTCTCCACCCACTTCCCTTGTGGCTCTTCTGGTTACCGAATATCTGCAGGGGCTGCACCTGTGGCCACTACTCCCAGCTCTAAAAGCCTTTAGGCGAGTGGTTCTTAAAACGCGGTTCCAGACCACCAGCAACAAATCGGCTGGGACCCGAGAAAAATGCAAGTTCTCAGACCAGTCCGAGAACTGCGGAATCGGGAACTAGCGGGGGCCGGGGGAGGAGGGGGGGAGACGGTCAACAGGTTCATCAGGTGATTCTGAGGCAGGTGAGCTTGGAGAACCATTGCTTTAGGCAATGCTTCCATCCCAGCTGCTCTCTAGGTTATATTGACATTTACAGTTTATGCCTTCTGCCTTTACTGTAGGGCAAAGATATATATATATATATTTTTTTTTCTTTGTGTGATTATAGTTTTTCATCTCTGAATTGCTGATGCTTTTCTTTCCGCTCTCCTTTGTTTTCTGTGCAAAGTGTCGCTTCTGGCTCCCCTAGAAGTGTCTCTTCCCCACCAATCTGAAGATTCTTTGTGATGTGATAAGAAAAAAGAAGTCCGGCTAATTGACCAATTGGGTACTACCTGCCTGATTACAATAGTGTTATAAAAATAATTACAATAGAATATACTGGGTGAGAGAGTGGACATATTTACAAAGGGCTGAGGAAACTGGGGGACAGCAAAGAGGTATTCCAAGGGAAGGGCCCTTTGAACTGTGCTTGCAGAACGAGTTTTGTTAATGACAGATGATGGCCTTTTCCAGGTCCATTTCAATTCTGCGTTGCAGTGGTTGGTGGCCCAGTGGTTTTTAGTTGTGGCAAGTTGTGTTTTCCCAAGAGAGCTGCTCTGACATCAGCCTTATCCTGAACTCTTCTGCTCACACCTCTCCATCAAGAGGTGGAGTTTGTGATCTCCCCTTTTTAAAAAAATCTTATTTTGTTGAAGTATAGTTGATTTACAATTGTGTTCATTTCTGCTGTACAGCAAAGTGATTAAGTTTTATATATATATATATACTTATAAACATACACATGCTTTTTCATATTCTTTTCCATTATGATTTACCCCAGAATACTGAATATAGTTTCCTGTGCTATCTGGTAGGACCTGTTGTTTATCCGTTCTCTCTGTAATAGTTTGTATCTGCTAATCCCAAACTCTGAATCCTGTCTGAGTCTGTTTCTGTTTCATAGAGGAGTTCATTTGTGTCATATTTTAGATTCCACATAAGTGATATCATATGGTTTTGTCTTTCTCTTTCTGACTTACTTCACGCAGTATGATCATCTCTAGGTCCATCCATGTTGCTTCAAATGGCATTACTTCATTCTTTTTTATGGCTGAGTAGTATTCCATTGTATATATATACCACATCTTCTTTATCCATTCGTTTGTCAGTGGGCACTTGGGTTGTTTCCATGTCCTGGCTATTGTAAATAGTGCTGCTATGAACACAGGGGTATATGTATCTTTTTGAATTAGAGTTTTGTCTGGATATATGCCCAGGAATGGGATTGCTGGTTGTGATCTCTCCTCTTCAATCTGGGAAGATCTTTGTAACTGCCTGGACCAAGAGAACGTGGCAGAAGTGCTGCTGAACGGCTTCCGGAGCTGAGTCATGAAAGGTGGTGCAGCTTCCACCCACTGTCTTTCTTGAGCTGCATCCCTGGGGAGCCGTGAGCTGACAGGTAAGATGTCTGGCTGTCCTGCAGCTGCCATGGAAGGTCCACGTGGAAAGGTCACTTAGAGATGGAGAGCCATGTCCAAGGAACCCCAGCTGTTCTGTCCTTCAGATGTCTGAGTCGAAGGAGCCTTCAGATGGTTCTAGCTCTTAGACTTTGAGCGACCCCAGCTGACCCTAAAGGAGCAGAGACAAGCCATCGCTGCAGAGCACTGCCCAGATTGCAGATTTGTGAGCAAAATATAGGTGTTTTAAGGCCCTAAGTTTTGGGTGTTTTTTTAAATTTTATTTTTAAATTTTTTTTGGCTGCATTGGGTGTTTGTGGCTATGCACAGGCTTTCTCTAGTTGCAGCACGTGGGCTTCTCATTGCAGTGTTCTCTTGTTGCGGAACATGGGCTCTAGGTGCTCAGACTTCAGTAGTTGTGGCGTGCAGGTTTGGTAGTTGTGACGCACGGGCTCTAGAGCGCAGGCTCAGTAGTTGTGGCTTGCGGGCTTAGTTGCTCCATGGCATGTAGGATCTTCCCGGACCAGGGATCGAACCCGTGTCCCTACATTGGCAGGCGGATTCTTAACCACTGCGCCACCAGGGAAGTCCATTTTGGGTGGTTTTTAATCAGCATTAGAGGACGTGAACATTAGTCTCTGAGCACAATCCCATTCTTCCATAATTCTCATTCCTACATAGCTTTGCAATGGTCTTTCCAAATATTCCTTAAGTGTTCTAGATTGGAGTCCACTCACCGATGACTTCCCTGTATGAGTACCCATTGCTAAGTTTGCTCACTCAGAGTCTTCCCTTCCGTGGTGCCAACTGCCACCCCGGTCTCCCGCTGTGCCCCAGCTAGGGAGCCGGCGTCCAGCGCCTGCTTCCTTACTAAACAGGGCCGTTACCTGGGACACATCACTTCTTTGGGCTTCGATCAGTTGTACTGCCTGTCCAGTGAGAACAAGATGTGCCTTCCTGAAGGCAGAGGGATAGATACAAAATTGGGCCCCCCCTTTCGCTTCTGAGATCTTTGGTTCCAACTAATATTCATCAGATAAAATCACTCTAGAGTAAAATGAGTTGGAAAAAAAAAATGAGTTGGCAGAGAAAGAAGGAGCATTGAAGGAGACGTCCAAAGAGGATCGACAGAGCTACCTGTGGGCAAGCAGCACAAAGTTCTGGTGGGACGGTTGGCCTGTGAAGTTCAGGAAGGTGGGAGAAAAGACCCGGCTTAAGTTACATTATGTTAAATGGAGAGAAAAATCAGGAACATCTGGTGGACGTAGCCCCATTGTCAAGAAGTTTTAAAAAATAATTACATAGCCGTGCAAACAGAACGCCTTTCATGAAAATGATCACGTGAAAAAGAGAATTACGTAAGTTATGATAGCAGGAGGGTAAAGTTTGATGGTGATGTATGGAATTGCAGGACAGAATTTACAGGCAAGTTCTGATGATGAAAAAAGCAAGTGAACATGCCAGCATGAATTCAGATGAGTAAAACATGAAGCTACCAACATAGCAAAAGAAGGAAGAAGCTAGTGCCCAACTGTGAAGAGGATACAGAAAATAGGACCCTGTACAATTGAAGAAAGTCAATGCAATTTCCAGATACTGCTCAATGAAGGAGTTGATTGCACTTAAAGACAAGGCAAATGGAAACAGCCAAAATATATGTGGATAGGTATGGAACTATCATTAATAAGAATGGACCTAATTTTTTTCAATCACTAAGGATAAAAGACAACATATACATATCTATACAGCACCGTGAGCCTTTTTGAAGATGATGCTTTCTAAATACAAAGTAATACCATCATTACGGTTCATGTATCATCACTGCCCTTGCTCATTGGTCAACAGCTGTTTCTCAATGTTTCCTTCCTCTAAATTCCATCACATTCTTGGTCTTGATACCCTCACAAGCAAAGCACTAAGTCTTGGGGAGTGTATTCGTTAAGCAGAGTTTAAGCCCCAGTTGTTCTGAATGAATGAAGACTTGGCCTAAGGATAGGAAAGGAAGAGAGCAATTTGCATTTTTAAGGAAAGCAGAAAAGTACTCTTAGAATATTTCCTTTTAGCCTCACAAGGAAAGCTGTCGACTGGTGAATTGTAAGTATTTTTCTGGCCGATGGTAAAACCCCATACACAGTTGTATGGCTGAGATGCTGGAAAACTCAGGAGGTCAGAGCCCTGAAAAATGTAAAATCTGGGCAGTGCATGATATTTCTAATTCCGTTTTTCCCCCTCAGACTTTATAGCTCCTCATCCCTTACTCAAAACCCATCTTTAAAGCACATTGAGGGCTTCCCTTGTGGCACAGTGGTTGAGAGTCTGCCTGCCGATGAAGGGGACACAGGTTCGTGTCCTGGTCCGGGAGGATCCCACATGTCGCAGAGCGGGCTGGGCCCGTGAGCCATGGCCGCTGAGCCTGCGCGTCCGGAGCCTGTGCTCCACAACGGGAGAGGCCACATACCAAAAAAAAAAGCACATTGAATTAACATATATATGTTTCCAATAAAGATATAAACTTTTCAAATGTCTTCTAAGCTTTGAGATCACAGTTTCAAGAATAACGTGGCTTTGTACTATTGTTTAACCAAAAAAAAAAAAAAAAAGCAGGTACAAACCTTTAATGCTCTATTCTCCTACCCGCTCCCTTGTAGGAGCATGGTGAGACCCTGTTTCCTTAGTTCGGTCTTAATGTGTTTCTAGATTCTAGCAGAGACGCGACCTCCACCTTTGTGTCTTGTTGCCTTATGGTTGATGGGAGGATGCTTTTTTTCCTCCCAAGCCCAGAATGAGCCTTGGGAATAACAAAAAGAGTCAGTTTGCTGTGGAGGGGAACCCATCTTCTGAAAAGAAAGCTGACCCAGGAAATAGAGCATCTGGCTTTGACTTCAGCTCTTATGAAGGCTCCCCAGCCCTGGGCAAAGCTGTAGATGCTGTCTCTTCACTTTGCCTGAGCTTTGTTAACG